TTACTTGGTCTCAATTACTCCAACTCCCTGGAATGAAACGAACCCTTATGAAGAATTTAAAAGTATCTAGAAAAGTAGATGTAAAAACAGCTGACCAAGAATATCGACCACGAGTCACCTCACTCAAATGTGCCATTGATATTGATGGTTATACAGTACCTGCCATTGTTGATAGTGGTGCTGCTGTAAGCATGATTACGCGAGACACAATGGAACAATTAGGATACTCCATAGATGAACCTTCAAATAGCGTGATTCTACCTGCTGTTGGAGAAGGTACTCGACCCCTAGGAGTTATTAGAGATTTTCCAGTTACTGTCGCAGGATATACTATCCCTGTTGATGTAGAGGTAACTGAAGCAACCACCTATACCCTCATTTTAGGAAATAATTGGCTGTTAAAAGCCAATGGAAACTATAATTGGCAAAGTCAGGAGTTAACTTTGAGATGGAGGAATCAACACTTGGTTTTACCTGCCTCCTGCATACGAGGAAATTTAGCAGAAATTCCTGAAACTACTAGTGAAGAGGAAAGTGAAACGTCCGATGAAGAAATTGAAAGTGATAACCAGCATGAAAACGAGTCTTCCGAAACTGAGGAAGACGATGAAAATGAAACTTTTGAAGACTGCATTGAATATTCCGAAGAAGAAATAAATTTTTCCGAAGGAAATGCAAATGAAAGTGATGATAATAACGAAAATGAAAGTGAAAATGATACAGAAAGTGATAATTCAAATTCAATTGAATCTGAATATGAGGAAAGTAACTCAGAATCAGAATCTGAAAGTGATAGTGATGATGATAAGGATATTTTGGATGAGATCCCTGTAATGATGGGAGACTCATTAGTTGAAACTGAATTGAATGTTGGTACTTTAAGTACTAAACAACAAGAACAATTCAATCAGTTACTAGAAGAGAATCAAGATATGTTTGCAACCGATATTAGTCAGTTAGGACGAACAAATATTATTCAACATAAAATTGACACTGGGATTGAGAAACCTGTAAAGCAAAGGTTTTACCGTTCCAATCCAATTGAAGAACAATTTATAGAAGAAGAAATCCAACGACTACTACAGAAAGGACTAGTTGTGAAATCCTTTAGTCCTTGGGCTTCTCCAGTAGTTGTTGTAGGCAAAAAGAATGGAAAACAACGACTATGTGTTGATTATAGGAAAGTGAATGCCCTTACAAAAAAGGATGCTTATCCTATTCCTCGCATAGATGATATGTTAAGCGCAATGCAAGGTGCAAAATGGTTTACCACTCTTGATTTAGCGAGTGGATACTGGCAAGTTGAAATGGACCCTAGTGATAGGGAGAAAACTGCTTTTATTGTAAAACAAGGAACCTATGAATTTACAGTAATGCCGTTTGGGTTAACTAACGCTCCGGCTACTTTCCAACGGCTTATGAATCAAGTTTTTAATGGCTTATTATATAAAGGTGTTATTGTCTATTTGGATGATATTAATATTTACTCCAAAACATTTGAAGAACACCTGGAGAAATTGAAAGAAGTATTAAAACGGCTACGTGCTGCTGGTCTTAAATTAGGCCCTGACAAATGTCACTTCTTGAAGAAACAAATTGAATTTTTAGGTCATATTGTTAGTGACCAAGGCATCGCTACTGACCCAGCAAAAATTGAAAAAGTACAACACTTCCCTCGACCTAAAGATGTAACAAAAATCCGAAGCTTTTTAGGATTAGCTTCTTATTATAGGAAGTTTATTCACGACTTTTCAAAAATTGCACGACCCTTACACCAACTAACTCAAAAAGAGACATCTTTCAAATGGAAACAGGAACATCAAGTTGCCTTTGATACTCTTAAGGAAAAATTAACAACCTCACCTATTTTGGCACATCCTGATTTTGACAAAACTTTTTATCTTCTGACCGATGGATCGTCTCAAGGACTTGGTGCAGTATTAACTCAGCTAAACGACCAAGGTCTTGAACAGGTGATTGCTTATGCGAGTAAAAGCTTACAAGGAGCTCAAAAGAATTATATCGCTACCGAATTGGAATGTTTGGCTATAATTTGGGCAGTTGAACATTTCCATCATTATTTGGGAATAAAACCCTTCGTAATTATTACCGATCATTCTGCCTTAACCTGGCTACATACTAGTCCAATGAGAGGACGACGTGCCAGATGGATTCTCAGATTACAATCCTATAATTTTGAAATTAAACATAGACCAGGAAAAGAAAATAAAAACGCGGATGCGTTATCCAGACTTTAATTGATACAAAATTATAATTTTATTGAAAGTCCGACAATAAACTCAATCCAGTCTAGGTAGTCGGTGTCCTAGCAAAAATATTACCCACCATGGAATTCGAACAATATCAAACCATTTATAATTATTTAAACACTCAACAATACCCTTCTAATTTTTCACAACAAGATAGAAAACGTTTAAACTCTCAAACACAACATTTTACAATATCAAACAATCAACTATTTAAAAAACCGCGAAAACCCAACAAACAACTTATTAAAGTAATCCATAGAGGAGAATTAGAACCCTTATTAGACATTATGCACAGTCATCCTACCTCAGGACATTTAGGAACTGATGCAACTTTTCAAAGACTAAAGGATAAATATTATTGGCCGCAAATGTATAAGGATATTAAAGAATATGTATCAACATGTGATAATTGCCAACGATTCGGACGACCGAAAAGAACCGAACCTCTTCATCCTATACCTGTAGGGCAACCTTTTGAAAGGATAGGAATCGATATTGTAGGACCCTTGCCCCGAACATCACGAGGCAATAGATATATAGTTGTCGCAGTCGATTATTTAACTAAATGGCCCGAAGCCCGAGCATTATCAACAGCTAGTGCTGAAGCTGTAGCAGAATTTATATATGACGACATAATTTGTCGACATGGTGCCCCTCAAACTATTTTATCCGACCATGGTACTCATTTCAAAAATCAAATGATAACACATTTATGTGATAAATTTAAAATTAAACATAGGTTCTCGTCACCTTACCATCCTCAAACGAATGGAATGGTAGAACGACTAAATAGAACTTTAGGAATTGCACTAGGAAAATTAAGAGATATTATGAATTGGGATCAATATTTACCTGCTGTGTTATTTGCCTATCGAACACACAAGCATAACACAACCAAATTTACACCATTTTTCCTATTGTATGGAAGAGAAACAATATTACCAGTTGAAATAACGGCAAATCGACCTATTAGTGAATTTGACCTTGAAAATACAATTATTCACCGAGCATTCGAAGTTGTAGATCAATTACCAAAACAACATGAAATAGCCAGAAATAATATTAAAAAGTCTCAGAAACGACAAGAAGTCCGTCACTTTGCAAGGTTATCTAAGATAATCCGATACCAACCAAATGACTTAGTGTTAATGTATGACTCTAAGTTGGATAAACAGTGGTCTGGTAAATTAGAAACCAAATGGAAAGGACCCTTTAAAATCCATAAGTGTCTAGATAAAGGCGCATATGTGTTGCATAATCAATTTGGACAACAATTAAAAGAAGTAGTACATGCCGATCGATTGAAACCTTATTATTCACGTACCACTTGGCAACCCCAACTGATAATCTAATTAAGTAATTGAGAATTCAATGTTACGATGTACTGTGCGTAACTTAAAAATTAATAAAAAGGATCAAATCTCTCACGGAAACAACTTTTACTCATGGACAACCAACAAATCGCTATCTTAAAATTAGATTTAATTATGACAGGCGCACATACTATTCAGCCTATTAGATGTCCATATTTATCAACTGATGAATGGCCTGATGCTATGGTTAAAGTTTACAATGACCTTCAACAATCATCTCATGATAAACAACGAATCCATACCCTCATAAATGCCTTTTATATGGGAAAATTAATTGAATCTTCTATTACACCGAGAGAAAAGTGGACGGAATTTGTGCAACAAAATTCCATTAAAAATGAACGACGGAATTACCTAGGATCCACTAGGGTATACAAGTTATTTATGTCAAACGTAGACCAAATTTATTGTACTCAACATATGACTTTCAGAAAAATTGCTCGATTGAATAATCAACAATTTAAGGAGTTGATGGAGTTTAAAGAAAGTTACGAAAGGGACTTCGTAATTTAGCAAGGGGGAAACTGTTACCATGGGTTTCCTCCACTTTCATAATTTCTTATTATTTTATTTTATTCTTATTTGTAATTATTTTATTAGTATAGTTATTTAGTATATTTTAGTATATTTAGTATATTTATTTATTAGTATTTATTTATTTAGTA